CTCATCCATTTTCATTAAATCTTTTGTCCTCGTGATTACTTCCGGTGAAAATTTTGCTAATGTTGTAGCCTCTTTCACAGCCACTTCCAACAAAGATTCTTTTTCGACTACTCGATTTATGAGGCCGGCATTTACTAGTTCGTGTGCTGTGACCCGACGGCACGAGAACTATTATTTTCATTATGTAAGCGTGGATTTCAAAAAAAAAGATGATGACAATGTGGTTATCTCAACGCTAAAAACTCATACCAACATTTCACTGGCAATAGATTTTCCTAAAATTCTGAGTCATTAATGTTTCGTATATGATTAGATGATTGATCAAATCGTGCTTGATGATGGCACCATCAAATGATACTCACTTTGGAAACAGATAGGTAGAGCAGGCCTCGGGGTATACCGCTAGTAAATTCAAGTGTCGGTCGTCAATTTCGAAACGAGTCAATTGACGTTTCGCACAACCCGGAATTCACGTCCTGTGAATTTTATATGGCATACGCGGATGCGTATGACTTGATGGACATGACGGAAAGGATGCTGTCGAATTTGGTTGTGCAGATTGCTGGTGAACGGGTAATCAAGTATCATCCCGACGGACAGGAAGGTGGTGAAGAGTTGGTGTTGGACTTTACCCCACCGTTCAGGAGGCTTGATGTGATAGGCTGTTTGGAGAAAACCTTGGGAGTCAAGTTTCCTCTTTCAGAAGAATGGTGCACAAAGGCGGCAAACCAGTTTTTGGAAAATGTTTGTGATGAACATGAGATCAAATGTAGTCCGCCGAGGACCAGCTCCAGGCTACTGGATAAGGTAACGATGATTATTGTCTCTTATCACCAGATCACAAACTACGTCTTTTCTAATTCTTAATTTTAATTTTAAATTTATTTTTTTTGCCAAACATTTGACGATTAGCTCATATCCAAATTCATTCAACCCAAGTGCATCTCGCCGACATTTCTGACAGGTCACCCGCAGATAATGTGCCCACTTGCCAAGCATCATCGTGATAAGCCAGGTCTCTCTGAAAGATTTGAGTTATTCGTAGCATCCCACGAGTTAATAAACGCCTATACTGAATTAAATGACCCATTCGATCAGCGCGAAAGATTCAAGGAGCAAGCGCAAAACAGGGACAAAGGTGATCAGGAAGCTCAATTGATAGACGAGGCATTCTGCACAAGCTTGGAATACGGATTACCGCCCACGTGAGTGCTTTTCGTTAAAAAAAAAAAAAGAAAAAATCTCCCTACGATGCGAGGTCACAAAGAAGATTCCTGATTGTGACTTTGCGACTTACAGGGCCGGTTGGGGACTCGGCATAGATCGACTGACTATGATCTTGACCGATAGCACAACGATCAAAGAGGTTCGTGTCATCATTCGCATTTTGTGTATTCCCGTTGAACCCGTGGGAGTCGAATGCATTCTTACATCCATGGCGATACACAGGTTCTCCTATTTCCCGCTTTCAGACCTACGGGATCTGAAAATAGTTGAATTTTTCGATGCCATCAATATTGGGCTCTGATATTAATGTTGTTAGCACATAAACAATGACACTTTCATATCACACGCACAAATTATTAAAAAAATAGGTTTATATACATACAAAAATATATTGTAAAGTTACCATAATATACATACATAAATTAACCCGAATTATAAATATCAATAAATATCCCCAAAGACTCGGTGACCTTTATAATCTAGATACCGAAAAACCCCAATCCGGTAACACTCGCCAGAAAAAAAAAAAAAAAAACATTTTGAAGAAAAGTAAGTTTTAATTGACCAAAAAAAAGGCAAAAGAATGCAAATAATAAAAAATTTTTTTCTCTTCCGTGTGTTGGTTCTATGAAGAATGTGCAAAGATCTAATATGATAAGTGTTACAATGGTGTCATCCCATGTCCAAAGAAAACAAGTCAAATATGTAAAATTAAGAATGTCACAACACAAATACTCTTACAGAGAAACATGTCCGTAATTAATCTTGAAGTACATAGATATGAAAGGCTAAATTAAGATTGACTATATTTTACGAAAAAAAAAAAAAATGGGGCAAAAAAAAAAAAAAAAAAATTGATAAAAAAATGGTGAATGCTTATATGCAGCTGGTTAATTCGGGGTGACTACGTTGTCAGAGAGATTAACGAGAAGAGCGGCCAAGCATCTTTTAGTACCTATGTCATCTTTCAGAACTTGCGAAAATGTGGCATCACGAAGAGGTTCTGGTAGACATTGACGAAGAGCCTCTCGTGCTCTGGGATTTGTCGAATCAATTATAGTGGTTAGAAATTGATCACCAAGGCAACGAACGACATCTGAATCAGAATCGCGAAACACCAGTCGATTATGATTGTGACCAAGTTTACCTTGGATTGTCTGAAAGGCGAAGGTAACATCGGACCACATGTTTCAGCAATCGGACGGCCTGTGTTTCCACAAGTTGAGTGACCATGTTGCTCAAAACGGTTCCCACAGCGTAAAATCGCTCGTACGTCGCGCAGATATATGCCAAACCCATCTCGTCCAACAAAATTTTTTGCACTATAAAAATGGCCACCTAAAAATATAAAGCAATAATCAATAAAGCCATCTCGAAATTTCCACTCTTGGTGATCAGATCCAAGAGTGTGATTTTATTTTATTTTATTTTTTAGAAAAAAAAAAAATCAACAAATTCATACCGTTTTAGAAAGTTCGTTACCAGTTTCCATGATACGTAGACAAAGTGGTATGATTTCGGTGGACAGAAGAAAAGAAATCACATCGGGATTGTCATTCTGTGATATCGACGGGATTAGAATTAATGTTGGTTACAAAAAGAAATTTAAAATTGATTGTCGTCATCAGAGGAAACATCAAACCTTAACGAGAGCACCGATGACACCCAGGCTGGTTAACCTGAGATATTCGAACGGCCTTGCCTTGCTTGTTGTGTTGAGAAATGGATACAGGAACAATGGAATATGGGCTGCAATGGAAGATAAATATCAAGGGTTAATAATGATATATATGAGAGAGGAAGAAAAAAAAAAAAGAAAACCAATAAAAGAAAAATAAATAATTAATTAATTAAAGGAAGAAGGAAGGAAGAAACAAAACGAACCACTAAGGAATAATCCTCGGGTTTCATTGTGACTAGCGACACACTGAAATAGGGCCAAAGCATTGCAAACCCGGTTCGATATTTGGGTCGTAAGTGCTGGTGGGGAAAGAAGGGGATACACAGAAACTATTTCCTGCAATAGTGCCGCCATTACACCTGAACATGAATGATCATGGAATTTAGTGATGAACCAATAATATCGACATCGTCAAGGATGTCCGCAATAAACCCACCAAAAGAATGCCATAATATCAAGGCCAAGTTATCATACTGTTCTCGCTTCTTACTAAGTTCCGCCAAGGCTGCCTCGCGGCTTGCCGGATTTGTTAACCCGGTTATCAAGGAATAGATTTTTTCTTCTTCCAGTTGATCCAAATTTTGTTGGCGCTGTATTGGCAAGTTCATTGGTGCGCCTGCGCCGGTTCCCCAAGGGTCACCGCCCATGGGAATTCCGTGGAGATTTGTTGCACCGCCCACATTCAACGGGTTCGGGGTTGCCAAGGCCGAAACCTGCTGTTGCAATTGAATATATTGTAACTGTTGGTTGCTGTGATGAGCCAAGGAATGCATTATGATTTCGAGTTTAATGAGGGTGTTCTTATATGTGAGGCGTTTTGCGAATGATCTATTTTTCTTTTCTTTTTTTTTTTTCTACGAGTGTATTCCCGCGGTGTCACAGTGTTGCGCTTCCTAATTCTGTCTTGTTTTTTTTTTCTTTGATATCGAAATTCGGAACGTGATAACGACGATAATATAGTTAGGTGTAAAATCAAAACCTGTTGAATTTATTTGTTTTAAAAAAAATATGATCAAATTTGTCAATGCTACATTGTCCATATCTATACCTTGCACATAAATAGCAATGTCACGTGATTATGTTGGCTGTCATTGCCACATGCGCCACGAGCCGTAAAAAAAAAAAAAAAAAAAAAAAAAAAAAAAAAAAAAAAATTTGTGATACCTTATTTAAGAAAATTTTCTACGGCTGTTCGATACTTTCCCAGTTTTCTTATCGGTGAACTGGGCCGCAAAGTCCGAATATTAAAGACGTACTTTTTACGTAATAAAAAGTTTTCTTCTTGTTCATTCGAGAATAATACGCGTAAACCAAAATAGTCCGAAGAAATGAAGTATATACTAGTATCAGGTGGTGTTATTTCCGGTATCGGAAAGGGCATATTTGCCTCGTCCTTGGGTGTGTTGTTGAAAACTATCGGTCTAAGGGTGACAGCGATAAAGATAGACCCATACATGAATATCGACGCGGGAACAATGAGCCCCATTGAGCACGGTCGGTTTTCGCGAAAGACTTGTGCTATTATTCGTGTTCGAAACGCGTCAAACTGACAAAAAAGTTTGTGACCTTTGTACTAGGTGAAGTGTTTGTGTTGGATGATGGTGGTGAGGTAGATTTAGATCTGGGGAATTACGAACGTTTCCTAGATGTAACACTCACCAGAGACAATAATATCACCACCGGAAAAATCTACCAGCAAGTCATTCAAAAAGAGGTTAAGGATAATTTGTGATATAATGTACTGATTGTCATTGATTTAATGCATTCTCAATCAAAAACCCGACATATTTTTGAATGATTAGCGAAGAGGTGACTATCTCGGCAAGACCGTTCAAGTTGTGAGTTGAGAAACCGACTTCAAATAAAAAAAAAAAATACACTCTTGTATAAAAAAAAAGATAAACCGAATAAAACTTTCTCATTCGCTAACCAATACAATGAACGTAACTTAAAAGGTTCCGCACATCACCGACGCGATCCAAGAATGGATCGAACGTGTCTCCATGGTGCCCGTCGACCATAGCGGCGAAAGGCCGGACGTCTGCATCATCGAGGTAAGCCGGAACGCACAGTATGGGTTTGTTAACATGGGTGGATGTGTTAATGTGCAATGAAATTATCCTAGTTGGGCGGAACAGTTGGCGACATCGAATCTGCCCCATTTGTCGAGGCCATGCGTCAATTTCAATTCCGGGTGGGACACGAAAACTTTGCCTTGGCTCACGTATCGTTAGTGCCGGTCACCGGACCAGTCGGCGAACAAAAGACAAAGCCTACTCAGACCACCATAAAAGAGTTGAGGGCCTTGGGATTATCTCCTGACTTGGTTGGTCGAGTTTTTTGAAATTCCACTCCGCCGACCGTCTCGGACGCGAGTTCGCCACCTTTTAACCCCCATCATACTTCCAAAACTTTAGATTGCATGCCGTTGTTGCAAAGCGTTAGAACCCGATGTTAGAAATAAGATATCAATGTTCTGTCATGTCGGGAAAGATCAGGTATAATATATATAGATATATATATTTCGTTCTTTCTTTCTTCTTCTTTCTGAAACCCCACTGACTTCTTTGCAATTGTGATTATTAGGTTATTTCCGTTCGCGATGTGGCGTCCACCTATAACGTTCCATTGTTATTGAAGGATCAAGGCGTCTTGAACTTTTTCCGAAAAAGGCTTGGTCTAGATTGCGTACACATTTCTACCGATCAGATCATAAGAGGCGAGAGTATATTAGCTGAGTGGACTAAACTAACAGATGAGTGCGCATCCAGTTCGCTTATACTTGTTGATTTTCAGTGTAAACGGGATTGATTATTTAAACTCCATTCCGATCTTTTTCACATAGGCACAATCGACTTAGCGAACCGGTCACAATAGTATTGGTGGGAAAATATACCAATCTTCAAGACTCATATCTTTCCGTTAAAAAAGCGTTAGAACACTCGGGTCTAAAATGCGAGCGAAAATTAATTCTCAAGGTAAATACAATAAAATCTATAAACTCTTCCGTTTCCCAATTTCTTAAATTTGTATTTATAACATTTATTTATTAAAATTCATCTTATCTAAGTGGGTGGATGCATCTCACTTAGAGAAAGAACATGAAAAAATAAACATCGATGAATGTCGGGAAGCTTGGCAAACACTTTCGTCTGCCAACGGAATTTTGGTTCCCGGCGGTTTCGGAAACCGCGGGACGGAAGGCAAGATCGCGGCCGCGAAATGGGCGCGTGAAAACAAAATTCCCTATCTAGGTATTTCATATTTTCACTCTCGTGGATCAATTGTAATTGATAGTATCCTGAGATTTTAAGACAATCTCTTCCGCCATATTAGGAATTTGCCTTGGATTACAAATTGCTGTGATAGAATTTGCACGTAACGTTTGCGGGATGAAAGGTATATGCGCTCAAATGAATTGCTGTCTACTTATTTTTTTCGCCGTGTTCTAAAAAAAAACCGTCTTGATTGATGGATCACAGCCGCAAACTCGGAAGAATTCCAAGAAGAGGGTGTCCACGTCATAGTTAACATGCCTGAAATATCTACAACTCATCTCGGAGGTACCATGAGGTTAGGTGTACGTCCAACCATTTTCCAGGAGGGCACAGAGGATTGGTCAACAACTCGTATGTATACACCGGATGACGAATGCATTTGACTACCTTTATCAAATAAATTGTGATTGGTTTGCTTTATAGGTAAGCTTTATGAGGTCATGAACTCCGTGTCCGCTGAAACCAATCAAGTTTTGGAACGCCACCGACATCGATACGAGGTTAATCCCAAGTTCGTGCCAACCTTCGAGGCAAATGGATTACGCTTTGTCGGCCGCGACGAGACGGGACAGAGAATGGAGATAATGGAACTCCAAGGTGATCCTTTGATCTATCGATTGCTTTATTTCCTAGTTGTAAGTCGCTGTGCCATTTGAATCTCACCAGTCCTTTCGCACCATAGGCCACCCATTCTTTGTAGGTACCCAATACCACCCCGAATATCTCAGTCGTCCTCTCAAACCATCAGCACCATTCCTTGGGTTTGTGGTGGCGTCTGCCGGATTATCACTGGATTCCGTATTAAAGAACTAATCGAAATTTAGAAAGTTAATAGAACTCTAAAAATAGATCCTAATAAATTTACTCAACTAATCAAGGTTTTCAATTCAATTTCATCAGTTTTTCTAATAATGTCCGGACAATCTAATGAACTGATGTTATCAATTAACTATTTCACTTGCTAAGGTTTTTTGCATAATATAGTATGGTTATGGCTATTTGAAAGTTAAAATTTAAATACAACAATCAAAAATCGTTTACTTTTTAAAGTTATTAATACAAATTATACATGATATTAATAATATATTTATAGTGCATATTCTAATTTTTTTTTTTTTTTTTTTTTTTGTTGAGTCACAAAATAAACATTATAAATGTTTAGTTCCAATTTTGTTTTGAATTTGTGATCCAGGCTTTCTTAATAATATGATTATTACACTGGAGTAAATTCTTTGATATTCAACATTCTAATGTTTTTTGTAAATTATTTTGATATTTTATTTCTCAAAAATAAGTTTTGTTGTAAAGTATCAAAAGAAAGATTTTATTAAAAATTTGCTATAAACATTAAATCAACTACTTGTTTTATTATTAGTAACTATATTATGTGTCTTAATAATGTCATTAGCAATTTAAAGAGTTAATGATTTTTTATTTTTTTAAAATAAAATTCAAATCTATTATAATTTTCACTATATAATTCAATATAAATAAATCATCAATTTATATAGTTCAATATTTACTATATAGTATAGTATAATGTTGGTTGAAATTATATTATTTGATAGTTAAATTTATTGTTGAATTTAATTAAATTTACTAATTTTTTTTTTTTTTTTTTTTTTTTAAAGTCATTATTGACGGAAGTTTATTAGAATTAAGATTAGAAGTACATATGATTATATGAGCAATTTGTGTAACTAATTTTAGTGCTATCTAACCTCGTATCTTATAAACCCTACTTAATTTCACCTGAGGGTATCATTATATCAGTATGCTCTGCTCTGCCCGGGCCATGATGTTCACAAGGATTCATCACGAACTTTATATTATTTTATATTATCAAAGGGCTAAGATGTGTTACTATTATGGGATATAGGACTTTGTGTTCCGATGTGAACATTGTACCATATTTAGGCTGCTAAAGTTACCGGTTATTATCCAAAGCTTGTGATTTGATGTGAGATTCCAGCGGCTGAATGGTATACCACGTTCGACTATTTGTCTTCCATTTAGCTATTTTTAACTACTCTTCAAATATGGTCTTTCAGGAGCTTTTCTTGGTTACTTCGTAGTGGATTGCTCCTCCCATTGGATTGGTTATCTTGGTGATTGTTTTCGAATTTCTTCTCCCAGGATCTGCTCCTGCATTTTTCCATCATGAGTCTTGATTCAACATCACCCGACCTTGGTAGGATAGGTTGTCCTTTTGTGGTAGCCGTTGGTAATCGACAACGCATATCTTCCAATATGTGTCTGACCCATTACGTCTTCGACTGGTGCAAGTGACTGAGGTCTCCCAGTCTTCCACAAGTGAGTTTTTTAAAAAGAGATGGATATCGGCATCTAGATCGTCAGAAGTGGACCAATCAGTTTCTTTCTTCAGTCTTCATATATTCTGATCGGCATGATGTTATTGTTGTGGTAGGCACTAAAACCGGCCATAACCTGTGTGACCTGTTTGTAGAACCGTGGTCAGACGGTAAATTTCTTTAAGTGATATAGTTCCCCATGATCTGCACATTGTAATGTGGTACAGTCTGGAAAAACCTCACCTAAATTGCATGTGTCATTCTTGAGTGGGATTGAACCGGCACATGGTGAATGGTGACCTGGGAGTGCACCCATTGCACTATCGACCCACAGGTCTTAAATTTACTAATAAAAACATTAATAAATCCTTTTCGATTACTATTTTTTTTTTTTTTTGGAATGGAAGCTCAGCCATATTTATTGACTTTGATAACATAATATACAAATTAATACAAAAATTATAAAGGTTGTTACATAAAGCCATATATTATTTATGTCACTAAACTTTCTAAAATCAGACCTTTAATGGATTTACTAGGTGGCTTGTTACCTGGAAATATCCGGTTAGATCAAATTTCTACTACTACTACTATTTAGAAAAAAACTAGACACCCCTTATTGGATCTTTAATCCTTCCGAAGTTCTCCTAACTAACATACCATGGTGGACTTGTTAGTTCCAAGAAAGAAGAAATATATCTTTCTTTTAATCTTGGTAATTATGCCTGTCACCAATACTGAGTGTGTTCAAAAAAAAAGTATAAGTTCAGTAGTATTTTGTGTATATGAGAGTGAAAAAATCATTTGAATCAGAATAGAAAAACCCTGAAGTGATTTTGAAATGGAAGAATAGTTGTGTCTTCGAAAATAGTGTGAGTTCTTAAGGTTCTATTCCAATAGGAGAGGTACTTATTCCATAGCCATGACACTTTTGAAGAATAATGAAAGAGAGGAGACCACAGTCCATGTGATGTTTATCCATCTGCATTTTAGCAAATGACTTATAATGGACCTAAGGTTCTTATGGAGCTTAGGAAATACATTCACATTATGTGTCACGTATATCCTTGTTTACATTTCTACTAACCATGAAGTAACCAATCCCAATATTCAGCCAATCAATCTATCCAAAATCCAATATAATAGAAAATTCAGGATCAAACTAGGATAAGCAAAATTCTTCAAAAAAAATTAAAAAAAAATTACTATACATTGAGAGAGAAGTCATTTCTGCCTATGGTAGTAATGTCTGTTTACAAAGCTGGCATGGAGTTATTGACCTACACTTCTTCTTGAACTTTGAAATCTTCATAAGGAAGAGAAAGAGAGTATTTTTTTGTCTAGTTTCTTCTTTCTAGAAAAGTTTTCTTGCTATTAACTTCTTAGGTAGAGGGTTTTTGAAGAGAAAAAGTAAACAAGAAGGATAAAATATAACTGCTGCTAAGCAAAGCAGGTGTTTTTAAAAAAAGTTTTGAAGTTTTATTATTCTTAAAACATAAATTTTTGAAGAAATGCTTCTTTGGAAGTGGTGGTCAAAGATTTATGGGAAAGAGTTCCTGTATTTTGACTATTACTTAATATAAAATATAATGTTTTAATATAAAATTAGCAAATTAAATTAAATAACAAATTAATATCTAATTTAATATACTTTTGTAAAAAAATTTATAATATTATAAAAAACAAAAAATTTATATACTACAATAAAAAGTTTAATACAAAATTTGATAAGTTTAACATATTATAAATAAAGATAGATTCATAAAGCGAGAGGTAAAAACAAAAGTCAATTCACATTAAAAAGTGTTAAAATTTTTAAATTAATAATTATAAAAAAAACCATTCAAAATAGTTCTTTATTATAAAAATCTTTAATTTATAATATTTTTTGAATTTTATTTCTATTAAAATTAAAAGTTATGGATTTTGTTTTTTAAAAAAAAATATAAGTTTTCTACAAAATTTTATATATTAAATACTTTAAGAATCTATTCTTAATTATAACAAATATTTATATAATTAATTTTAAAAATTTATATTAAAATAGTATTCAAATTCAATTTAAAAAGAAAATGTGATTAGGTATTTGATCTACTATTTTAGAATTTTGGATGATTTACAGTGATGACCTGTAAGCAATGAACTTGATAGCTAAAGGATAATCCAAGTTATTAAGAGAGCAAAATATTATCTCCTAAGTTATATCTAGAGAAATTAAACTTCTAAAATGAGTAAGCTGTCATGTAAAAATCTTTGAAATTGTATAACATTTTAAATATACAATAAAGATAAGCTGTGTTAGCCTAATGGTGAATTAAAAAAATATATATATTATTATTAAAATTCAATAAAAAAAGAAAATTTTCTTTTCATTGATTTCTTTTTTTTTAAAAAAAATTTTTTTTGATAATTTTTTTGAAAAAAAAAAACCAGATTAAAAAATATTTTATCCTTTCAAAATCTGAGACTTAATAACAAACTATAATACTCAGTCACTTTTCAAAAGATCTCTTTATTGATCAAAAGAAATATAAACAGTATAATATTATTTCAGCTTTACTTTACAAGAAAAGAAACATACTTATAAGCTGATTCACAATAAGCTTAGAAGAGTCAATATCAACTTCTCAAGCTTTTAACCAGGTCAGTATTAGTTATACTTTTCTACATATCAGAAAAAACTTTATAAACAGTAGTTTTTACTAATAAATAAAAAAAAACTCAAAGTTTATAAAACCTAGAAGGATATCAAAAACTTTTAAAGATTAAACAGTAAAGTATTCTGATTTTATATACACTTGATTAAACAACAAACAAGTTACACAAATATATACATATCAACTAGTATATTATCAAAATCATATAATAAGATTTACTAAGAAATTATAAACAAAATAGATTATTTTATCACAATAATAAAGATCAATAACAAATCTAATAAATAAATAGAATTAAACAAAAAAGATTAATGACTCATTTGAGTAAACAAGAACTCAAACAAGATAACAAACAGTCAACTCACAAACTTTGTTAAATATAAATAAACAAAAAGTAAACAAAACAACAAATCAATAATTTATTTTTTTTTTTTATATGACTAATATAACAAAGAAATAAAAAATTATGTAAATTTCAAAGAAAAGAGAACTCTCATTCTTGAAACAATAGTTAAAATAGTTAAAAAGTATGATCAAAGGAAAGAAAAATAGATTATTCAAATAATCTTTGATACTCTTACCATATAAAATAAGTCTAATCAAACATTAGAATTAGTAGAATATTTAATATTTAATAGTATTATAGCAAAAATCTTAAATATATATCCAACTATATGCATTAAAGCTAAGATTTTTAAACAGTATATCCTATACTTATAGATATAAGATCAAGGAAAAAAAAAGGTTTCATGATATCCTTCTTGAAAGAAAAAGATAAATATATTTTGAAATAAAATACTTTGATAAATAAGTTTTCCCTTCATACTTTTAAAACTTTTTAGATCAAATGTAAAT